AAAAAAAAAACAAAACAAAACAAATTTATGGGATCAATATTGAAACATCTCTATAGTTATGAAACTGATTTTGTTATTTTGCCATGTCTTCTGCCATGCAGGAGTTAAATGAACCGGCTATAATATTATTAAGACACGTTAGCATGACGTGACTTTTTTGGACGGATTTTTGAGTTACGAGAACAATTGTTCTACATTTGACTGATTTTTTAAGAGATAAGAGACTTGTTTTGAGAAACAATATTCCAGTGGGACCAAAAGTAGACACTCAAAATTTACGATACTAGTTTTGATATTTTCCCGGAACTTCCAATAACAACTAATAACTCCCCCAACAATAACTATTGTCTAGAAGCTTGTTTAAGATCACAAAGACTTTTGGCGAGTATGTACATAAAGACGTTTGACAAGTTTGCATACTCTCTTACCAGATGGAGAAGAATAACCGGGGGGGAGTGAGGAGGGGGAAGGGGTGTCATATAAACATCTTCTTCTAAGTCACCATGTAAAATGACTATAATAATGGTCGTTAAAAAAAAAAAAAATAATAATAAAAAATAAAAAAATAAAATGACTTGTTTCGTGTAGTGTTAGGATGAAATTTAGCTCCACCCTCACCAAGAATTTGTTAATTCTTATTTTCATATATATATATATATATATATATATATATATATATATATATATATATAGGGGAGATGCTACAGGTCTGTTATGGAACCATTTCGTCGGGGCTTGTAACCGTTAAATCATCATGTAACTGTCGAGGATAATTAATCAAACGGTTACAAACTTCAACGAAATAGTTTTGTAATGAGACTGTAGCATTTCCCTATATAAATTGCCTCCATTAAAATAATAGGAGATTATAGATGCATCCATGCCATGAGATGCCATGTTGACCCAAAAAAATTAGTTGGTCCTACTCAGTGCTGAGTCAGTATACATGACCTTGATAAGTCGTGATTCAGAAGTTCAATTTAATAGTCACTCTTCACACATAATTACTTGCTTAATCAAAATTTTATTTTTATATGTTTCATACCAAGGTAATGTACGTAATAGGAGCCACATAATATAATTATAATAATATAATAAGGTTGCAAAAGAAGCTGGCATGTCAACGTAGTAACTTACAATATCATATACATGTCTGAGCAACTTTAACTTAATGGAAAATGCTACAATCCCGTTACGGAACTATTCTATCGAGATTTGTAACCGTTAAATTATCATGTAATCGTCGTGAGTAGTTGATCTAACTGTTACAAACCCGGTGAAATGACCTTAAAATCTCCCGTTAATTTTTATTAGTAACACATTTTTTTTTTTTTTATGGATCCTTCTAACCACGGTCGCTAATCCTCACGTCACGACCGTCATTATAGAAAAGAACACAAAGAGTAGAAGAGATGAACAAGTTAACAACTAGGAAAAAACAATTCTCATGAGTCATGAATGTTTTATTTGCTAACACAAACTAACAACATATTAATCAAACAATTAAATTATTAAACCACCTCAGCCACGACCCGGCCGCCATCATGCGTGTTCCAATATTCTATTCCTTCACTGTATTTTCATTTGATTTTTTTTTTTTTTTTCTGTTGGAGAAATAAAGTAATAGAAAAATAGCTTATTTATAATATATATAGAGTGATGTTATGTAATAAAGAACACAAATTAAAATGTAGATATTGTTGGTTATAAATATTAAATTAGTGGATGAATAGTAAAATTTATATTAAAAAAAAATGTGTAGATAAAAAGAATATTGAGAAGAGAACGAGCTAGAGAATATTAACATGATTGACATAGAATTTTTCAATTAATGGATAAAAATATATGGATATGTATCGATCGGTTTTGCTATGAAGCCAACAATTGGCTCTATAGTGGAGTCAACCTTCTATATACAACAAATAAACCTACCATAGTGAAGCCACATAAATCGCTTAGATCCATAGAACTTTTTGTTATGTTATACACATGTTACACGTTATGAATTCGCTCTTTTAAACTTCTCTCTGTCTTCCTAACATTTTACATATACATTGGAAAATAAGAAAAAGCATAACGAATTGATCAAATGCTCGGATATATTCTCATTTACATTAGGGAGCATCCATTAGGGTTTTCATCGCTGAACACTCGATCGTTTATGTTCATGCACGTCGGTGGAGGAGGTGGCGGCCCTTGCGAGTACTGCACGGCGTAACCCATATGAGGATAACCGTAGTTAAAATTACTATAACCATGGTTAGCATAACCATGAGGATAGTGAACATCCAAGCCGTTATAATCTTGATTGGCATAACTTTGGTTGTACATTGGCAAGGCATAGTGAGTTAGTGGATTAAAGCTATTGTACTCCGATTTGTTGACCTCCGATTTGGTACCTTCGCCGGCCTTGCTTCCTTCTCCGGTGGCGGCAGGCTTTGATTCCTTGCCGGAAAAATCAGGCTTTTTATCCAAACCACCACCGTTTTTTTCCTTGTTGGCGTCTCTTTTCGGTGGAACAATTTCTACGTTTCGTTTGAGCTTTTCTTGCAAATAAGCCGTGAGTTCCTTCACGTCCATTGTGCCCGTGACCGTGACCAAATCCTTGTCGAAATCATTTTTTATCGAATCGACCCCTGTCGAGAAATAAATTAATTTATGACAGGATAGATTAACATAATTGATGCTAAATTATCTGAAAATTGCTTATACTCATAAAATTTAGGGAAAAATTCAAAATTAGTCCCACAGGTATAGGGGGGTGACATTTTTGGTCCCAACGGAATCCAGAAAATATTAATAGTCCCGCAGCTTTTAAAAAATGATCAAAAGTTGAACTTTTTTCAATTTTTTGGCCCGGAATGCCACGTGGCCACATTCATCTGACGTGGCTGAGTACAATGGCAAGGAAAAAAATTAAAATTAGTCCCACAGGTTTTGGGAGGTGACATTTTTTGTCCCAAAAGAATCCATAAAATCTTAAATAGTCTCGCCACGTGTGTGCCACGTGGCATTCCGGGCCGGAAAATTAAAAAAAGTCCTACTTTTGATTATTTTTCAAAAGCTGCGGGACTATTAATATTTTTTGAA